ATGCAATCAAAATCTAATTCAGCACAGAATTTAGAAATAGAATTCCATCCCTTCACCTTTTCTAAATTGAATGATTTAAATGTTTGGGCAAAATAATTTCAGCACTGACAGAAGCATATCCAAAAAAAAAAAACCAGATGGAATTCAAAAGCGTCTGTTAGTGATTTGTTTGTTTGTCTCATTTGTGACGACAGTTAAACTACATTTACGTATTTCAAAGACACCAACATGTCATTTCCAAATTATTAATATCGAGTGACACTTAAATAACGACTTTAACATCATATACTTTGCAAACAAGACAAATGATTTTCACAGTAACGGTCATTATATTGTAGAAAAAAGAAAGAAAATGGAACTATTCCGAGAGACCGATGTCAAGAGAGAGACGAGCCCTGCAGCACATAGAAAAGGAAACGGCAGAGAGAGGAAGAAAGTGCAAAGTGTGATGTGATGTATGTGTAAACGGCCCTATCATTCTCATTTCTCCATTCTCTCATAGGTGAAAGGAAAGGAAGAGAAGGTGAAACTGATGAATGTCTGAAATGATAGACAAAAAAAAACTTCGATTTTATCTGTTCGTCTCTTCCACATGATAATTAGTCCAACTATCCCTTGATTTATAGCCTCATTTGGCTAAGTTTATCTGATTCGAACAGTATAAACGGCATTACTTCTTTGATATGTTCACCTTGTGACTAGCCTATCCAACTTGTCCTCACGCGGTTTGCCTGGAAATCTCTGTTCCCGGCACTCTCTCACTCACCCTCATTGTAAATAATGTGCAGCTAATTAGCAAAAGAAAGAAAAATTAGCAGTAGAGAGGATAATTAGCACATCTCAGTCCGTTGGAAATTTTTGACTGAAATTGGAACAATTTTCAAAGATAAGAAAGACATGCATTTTCCATTACTTTGACCCAAATACCATACTTTTGACGCAAAACTATTAAGACATATCATCAAAGTTACACATCTCTTTTTATAGTTTTTGTTTATGCAAATGGTTGTTACACATGGATGAGATGAAGTGTAAGTTTTCCATTCTTCTTCGGCATTCTGAGCAAGAAATTTGTCAGGGATGGAGAGACATGAGGAGCTTACTTTCTTACTCAGATACTAACAGATGTGTAATTTTTTTCATAGTGACATACTTGTGGTTTGATTGCTGTATAATGGAATAATCTGATTGAAAGAATCGTGAAGTAAATTCGTGACAGATTTCCTTTCAAATTTGCATATATAGGAGCAGCATATCTTAATAAGCATGAAATATTCTATGCAAAAGGATCGTTAGGGAAAAACCAATTCTTTCTTCCTGCTATTTCTAAGTCTATTTCCAATTATAATATCCTCAAACTATACATATCAATATTAAATCAGTAAGGGCTAGATTTACCTTCATTTTAACAATGGATTTTCGATTGTTCGTTTGAATATTGAATATATTAACTCATCTCAGAAAGTAAAAGTTTAGGAACAATGCAAAACAAAGACGGACGCTGTATTTTACTGAGTGCTTCCGGTAGAAAATTAACATGAAACCTTTGCCGTAGAGAGATTATACAAAAACAGGGCGACATAGAGGGTAACAAAATTTCCTTCCTCCCACTCCTAAAATAAGCAAAAGCGTCGGGGACGGATGGAACTTCGAATGTCGGTGCGAATGGAAAGCTTTTCCAATCCATATTTGGCGATGCATCTTTTGTGTGTGTGTGCGTGTGTGTGTGTGTGTGTGTGTGTGTGTGTGTGTGTGTGTGTGTGTGTGTGTGTGTGTGTGTGTGTGTGTGTGTGTGTGTGTGTGTGT